CACTGCTGTTATGCAGACCAATGGCACACAATACATTTAGGTAAGTTACTTACTTGCAAGCCTCGCTGAAATACTTTATGGCCCATAAAGTTTGCCAACATCCGAATTAAGGCCGCCCCCTGTAGGGAAAATATATTCATTAGTATTTGAACAAAATAATTGTCTTATGAAAATGGGAACATAGATCCTTTGAATTAAAATGCTGTTTTCAGTAAATTGGTATGAATGCTCTACACCACAATTAAAATAAAATCTTTACAGAGTAATACTTTGGATTACATGCATATGGCTTTTATTTTAAATTGTTCTTAGTTTTTATATTGTTTAAACAAATTTAACATTAAGGCAAGTTTACTGTTAGTTACATATAGAAGCATATTTAAAAAGCAGCGAAAGTGACATTCTTCAGACATTCACTGCAGGTGTCATTTAAAACATATGCAGAAGGAAGACATGGCACACCCCTTTTGACAACATACGTTGATATGAAACGCTTTAAGAAGGAGCCTGCATGCCGTGACGTCATGCCGCCGGGTCACGGAGGTCCGGCGGCCATCTTGATACACCAGCTGGTCAGTCATCAAGTAGCTTTAAGCTGCATGCATTACCTATATTACCTGTTTCACATTGGAATACTTTATGGCATTATAACCTTATCATAATAAAACCTGGCATTTAAATTACTACTCTATAGGCAATATCCCTTTCTGCTCTGCACCGAGTATTTAATTCCCCAGAAACCTTGGTGACCACCCCAGTATCCAGAAGAGGGCAATCCACCACGCTACAGTTTATCCATAAAGGTGACCTCTGGCAGACTACCTATCATCCTAACTCCAGAGGAGGGCTATCCATCCGGGGCTGCATTCCATCCAACCATAGAAGGATCTCTGGCTGATTACCACTTATTTACATATTGCGCTTTTAAAATGCGCATCTGGTGAGTGTGCATTTTATCTATACCCCGCACTTCACCGGAATATCTGATTATACATGGCTGGGATTACAAGAGTCACCATTATTTAAACCATTGATGCTTATTTGACCTTTGATACTTTTTACTTGGACGTTTATAACTATTTATTTATTTATTATCTTGATGATTCACCAACATATTTTATTCCATTCCGGATTATGAATATTAATTGGCACTTTATTTATTTATCTTGAGAGAATATAGTCATTAGCGCTGCACATTTTCGTATTTATCAGAAGGAAAACACACAGTAAATGTTTTGTAAGTGTCCAATTCACTCCTTTATAATTATAACCCTATATGGACACCTAGTTAAAAAATGTATATAGGGGTTGATTTACTAAAGGAATAAAGACTAGGAAAGTGAATGCTCACTTTAGAAAGGGAATTTACTTTACAAAGTAAATGTTAGTGAATAAAATAAAGCCGTGCACACTTTGAATAACCAAAAGTGCCAGTAAAAAATCCTGTGTTTCTTCACACATAATTAGGTATGCAAAGTCAACACAGCTTTGCCTTATTACCTAACATTTACTTTGCAAGTGAAAATACACTTTCTAACATTACATTAACTATACTAAGTGAACAGTCTTCATTTTTTTAGTAAATCACACTACCCTGTTTTTAATGAAACAATGCTGCTAAAAATCCTCACAAGAGGAAAAGTCCTATACTCACCCTTACTGGTGACCCATTTCTTTGACCTTTCCTGCCTTCCAGGGCTGCAATCTTAATCAGTCTCTTCAGCATTCAACATTTCAGTCTCTCTGCCTGTCCTCCACTATGCATTATAAAATAATGCTCATTTCCCTAAATGAGATTATTATGACTTTAGAGCCAAATATTTAATACTGAACTTACAAATGCTCTAGTATCCTATTGCTGACTGCCATTTTTGCAAGGAAATAAAGAGCACATGTATCTTACAATGGAACCTGGTAATGGATACTAGGCTGGACCATATCAACCCTTTCATCAGCTTTTCTTCCCTACTATGAGTCCTTTCCATGCAGGGCACATACTTCCTTGGCACCACAACCTATATATAAGTCTTGAGTCAAGCAAGTCTATAGTTATGGAGATAATCATACTTCCAGCAAGAGGAAATGCAGTGATTGAATCACACAGAGTTCGTATGGTAATGGAAATGGTGGACAGAAACTGAAGATCTACTTGGGAACTGTATAAATGCTGTTCAGATACTTCCATATAAGTAGTGAGAAATTTAATTCTTAATCTGCTGGATGTATTCCTTTGAATCCTCTCTTATTTTAGAAAGCATATTTCTTTAAAGTAAATGTAAACCGAATAACTAATATTATCATCATCCTAAGGATCCTGCCATTAAGGTCCTTGTTCAGGCCCTTCATGTTATGGAGTCATAACTGTTTTCCAAAGCTGGCCATAGATTGATCAATATTTGACCAGTTCATCAGGGACTGACTGAATTTCAATCCATGTGCGGCTGACCTGCTTGACAGAGACAGAAGTTGATCATTAGATTGACGTCTGTCAAATGGGAATGTTGGAAAACTTTTCTCAATCAGTAACTGCAGTCTGATCAGTGTATTCTGACAGCAGAGGGTCTTGCTTTCAGAATACAATATTCCAACAAGAGGGTTCCTCCATCAATCTTGTTAGTGTGGATAAAGGAAGCCATTCATTTATTTTCAGCTGTGTTGTCACTTTTTCATACCTCAATCTGTACGGAAACTCCAAAATTCATGGGTCATCATTGTTGGGCAGCAGGTTGTCATGTTTACTTTAACTGGCATCTTAGGAATGTAACCAAAAATAAGTTTGTAAAGTGAGCATAGAAAAATGCATTTTATTTTATGTTTAAAAGGTGTTTATTTGAGACCTCATATAAAAATCGGTTTGGGATGTTTTTAATATGCCTAAGAAAGATTTGTATAACACAAATGCACATTTGTCATTTAAATATTAAATATTTTAGGACTTAAATTTTCTTCACCATGGAGAACTATATAGTAGACTCTTATCACTCCATTTTTTTCAGCTGACTGACAAACAAGTGTAGCACATCCTTAACAAGCTTTAATCCCCAGAGATAAATCTATTTGCTAGAGATAAGTTTAGTATTACCAAGATTCTCCCTTTGCCAGCATGTTTGCAGGCAGAGCTGTGAACCGCAGTTAATCATAACAAGTAATGAAGCTACAGACTTACCTACAAGACTGTGCATTATAGAGTGTAGATCATTTTATTTTTCCTGTGCTATTGATTTGGGACATTGTTTCAGATGGGTAGTGAAACTTTTCCTCAATAAAATAATTGTTGCTATTTTTCATTTATGTTTCCTCAAATATTGATCATGTTTTATGCCCTATTGATATATGTGGTGCATTGTACAATTTAGACAGAAATATTTTTTCCAAACAATTCAGTGAAACATGGTAAGTTTTATTTGAAATGACTTATCAGAAGGGTAAAATATATCCATTATTTCACAAACAGGAGATAATTCCTGAGCAAAGGCTAGATTCTGCAAATGAAAATCCCTTAAAAGAGAGAGAATTTTGACATGTTTGATTCCACCAATGCATTTTTGTACATGTGAAACCAGGCATGTGTTATATAAATATACTGTATGTACAGATTTGCTTTTAAGCTTCATAAATAAAGCTACCATTTTGGTGTTTTTTTAATTGTTTAAAATGTCAACATATGTATTGGGATGAGATAATTAAATGTGGAGGTTCCACTTTCAACATTTATGTGTATGTGTGTCAAAATACCACTTTCTCCCCAGAAAGTAATACTCAAAATTCCTCAAAAAGAAAACTCAAAAACACTTTCTCCCCAATAATAAGAAAGTAATACAATGTTATAACCTTAATTAGTGTTGATAAAATTCACATACAACCTATTAATATTCAAATCCCATAATAATGTATTAAATACTAAACCCTCTCAAACCAAGGGAATCATTCTCTCCAAAGAAATTTTCCAATAGGGTCTCTCATATTCAAGGTATAGGTAAAAGCAGCTCCCCACATGGAGTTCTACCAAACAAAAACTTTTGTTTGTAGAACTTGCATAGGAACCTCTGTAATGGATAAAAATCTTTTACCTATACCTTGAATATGAGCCTTGAGACCCTTCTTGTCTTTTGAGGACCTTGGAAAATTTCTTTGGAGAGAATGAGAAGATCCCTGCTGGTATATTGATACAGAGGGTAATAGTATTTAATACTATTGGTGTCGGTGGATACACAGTGTTGCAGTGTTCACAGAGTGGTCACAGTTTTTCCATACGTGCACAGGAGATATATATGTATACAGTTTTTGCACAGTTTTGTTGTTTGTGTTTTGCACGGAGTGAATATTTATCATTTATAAAGGTAACGCACTAGATTATTTATTTTGTTTTTTTTTGAGGTACCACGGGATGCAATGAGATTTTTCCTACTGGAGGATAAAGTTTGAACATTGGGACATATTTTTTGGACATTATTATTGTTTCTTGGGACAATTTTTATTGGGACACTTTTTTTGAATTTTTATTACAAATTTTGTTTTTGTTTTTCTTTTTGAGTTTTCATTATTATGGGATTTGAATATTAATAGGTTTATGTAATTTCAACACAAAAAGGTTATAACTTTCAACATTTGCTTAGGGAACTGCAGCATTTTGTCACAGTGTGCCAGTTGATAAGGGAGGTACTTGGAAAACAACTTTGTATACAGTTGTTTGGTCTGAATACAAAATTACAGAAACATTTAATCACAAACACTGCCCACTAGTGAAAAGAGCTTACCTTAGAACTACTGTAAGTGAATAGCAATGTGACATCTTTTGAACTACTACTACTACCCAACGAAACCCCTCTATACAGCCAGCAATCATATTTAAAAAAATGCAACATACACTATATTGCTGAAAGTATTGGGACACCTCTCCAAATCATTGGATTCAGGTGTTCAAATCACATCCATGGCCACAGGTGTATAAAATCAAGCATCAAGGCATGCAGACTGCTCCTACAAATATTTGTGAAAGAATGGGCCGCTCTGAGGAGCTCAGTGAATTCAAGCATGGTACCATGATAGGTTGCCACTTGTGCAATAAGTCCATCCATGAAAATTCCTTGCTATTAAATATTCCACAGTCAACTGTTAGTGGTATTATAACAAAGTGGAAGCAACTGGGAACAACAGCAGGTCAGCCATGAAGTGGTAGGCCACGTAAAATGTCAGAGCGGGGGCATCGCATGCTGAAGCACCTAATGTGGCCTTCAAATTAGCACAACAAGAGTGCGTAGAGAACTTCATGGAATGGGTTTCCATGGCCAAAATAGCTACATCCAAGCCTTACACCACTAAGTGCAATGCAAAGCGTCGGATTGCAGTGGCGTAAAGCACACCACTACTGGGCTCTAGAGCAGTGGAGATGTGTTCTCTGGAGTGAAGAATCACGCTCCTCTGTCTGGCAATCTGATGGATGTGTCTGGGTTTGGCAGTTGCCAGGAAAACGGTAATTGCCTGACTGCATTGTGCCATGTGTAAAGTTTGGTAGCGGGGGGGGGATTATGGTGTGGGGTCGTTTTTCAAGGGTTGGGCTTGGCCCCTTAGTTCCAGTGAAGGGAACTCTTAAGGCATCAACATACCAATACATTTTGGACAATTTCATACTCCCAACTTTTTGGGAAGTTTTGGGATGGCCCCTTCCTGTTCCAACATGACTGAAAAAGCAAAGTCTATAAAGAGTCCTGACCAGGGGTGGACTGACAACTCATGGGGCCCCCGGGCAATAGGGGATCGTGGGGCCCCTGTGTCCTTTCCCTAACTCAAAAAAGCCTATGAAAAAGGTACCAGGGGCATCTCATGGGGCCCCCTACTGACCCCGGGCCCTCAGGCAGTGCCCGAGTTTCCAAATGGTCAGTCCACCCCTGGTCCTGACCTCAACCCAATAGAACACATTTGGGATGAATTAGAGCGGAGACTGCGAGCCAAGCCTTCTCATCTGACATCAGTACCTGACCCCATAAATGTGCTTCCGGAAAAATGGTCAAACATTCCCATAGACACAATCCTAAACCTTGTGGGTAGGCTTCCCAGAAGAGCTGAACTGCAAAGGGTGGGCCAACTCAATATTGAACCCTACGGATTAACACTGGGATGCCATTAAAGTTCATGTGCATGTAAAGGCAGGCGTCCCCATTCTTTTGGCAATAAAGTGTATATTTTAAGAAAAGATATGCACCTTACTCTTATCTAGTGCAACACCAGCTCCAAAAACGACATACAGTATATACATCTATGTCATGTATCCATAATTACATGTCACTATAAAACCAGTACATAGAGCTTAATCCTCATCTCAGAGCTATCAGTGTAACAGCAAAAATAAAGTGTCTGCAAGACTCAAAGTCTAAAACAAAGATAAAAGTAGCCATAAATGCCAGTGTCCACTTTGTGTTCACAATGCAAGTAAAGATCACGTTAGAAGAATCAATACTTTGGAGTTTGGTCACTGTGTGGACACTTATTATGATCACTGGATTACGGATACTATATGGATTGTGAACACAGAGTGGACACTAATGTTTATGTCTCTAATTATCGTTATTTTAGGCTTTGAGTCCTGTGGACACTGTTTTTTATTTTTTGCTGTTACACTGATAGGTCTGAGACAAGGTTTATTCTCTGGGCACTGTATTTGATAAATAGATAGATAGATAGATAGATAGATAGATTATAGTTTTTGGGTTTGGTGCTGCTGCCCTCCAGTCCTATCTTGGGCTCAGTACAAATAGTTTCTACAAGTGACAACATCCGCTAAACAGACTATAGCAAAGGCTTGGAAGTCTAACTTTTTTAACATAATGAAGGCTAAGAACAGGGTCATCCAGGCTATGATTCATGCCAAGCTATTCTTCAAGACAGGGTCACAAAGTTAACAAAATTGTAGCATTTTTATTTTTTACCCCCACGCTTTGATGACTCTCTGTTACCCCTAAAAACCCACCCATGACCTCTCTTGACCATCCCCAGTTCTCTCTGGGTGGTTATAATCCTTGTATGTTAGCACTTTTCTTTAATCCAACTACTGCATATCAGCATGCTGATGTCCTTTTTTACAGCCCGGACAGAGTTAATGGTCTAACGTTTTGTTCCTATTGCGATGCTTATTAATTTGATTGATCAATACTAGATAGTCACAAATATTGCTATCTTAATCTATTGCCCTTGAGCAGGTTCTTTCAAAGTAGTTCCACATGACTTTCTGTACTCTGAATGCCTTAACCTTCTTTAAAACCAATAAAGATATTGAACAAGAATTGGAAACAATCAGATTTTACCATTTTGTTTACAGTATTTCTCATCCAGCTGTCTACTTTATTATTTTTTTAATTTAAAAGAGTAGAGTTTTTTTAAGTATTCGAATAGGCATAAAGTAACAATATCAATACTGATAAAGACAAGTGCCTACATTGTGCATGTTCAGTAAAGGAATAGATAAGGCAAGGTCTCTATAATTGAGTATGCACAGAAGGAATATGTTACAACTGGCAAGTTATCAAGTTGCTGAAGACAAATTAAATGAGAGACCTAATCATAGAATGTTGTCAGGAATAAGTGCAAAATAATATAGCAAAGCCCATATAAATATGGTATATTTGGTTAGGAAACTATGAAAACCTAAGCCAGACCTAAACATATAAATTGTTAAAAAAAAGGAGGAGCTGTCAGACAGCAAGTAGAATATCCTGTCTGCCTCATACAGTAAATTTTCTGATATTTTTTTCAAGTAACCTCTGTTGTCTTAGATATGTTTCTTCTGAGCCTGTTATTAATTTTTTTCTTTCCATTGCTTTTGGGTGGGCACCCCAGCTTGGCTCCACACCTTAGCTATCAGCTCCTTGGCAGTAAACAATGCCACATGAAAAATGGCGTGCAGATAAATGTTTAATACCAAAGACTCAGGAGGACAAAGCAGGCATAGCTAAAGATCTAGTTGTACTCGAGAACTCATGCCATAGTGCAAAATGTTTATTTGCTTCAAGTAAGCCTACGTCTGTGGGCAAGATAAAACAGATGTATGGTGCAATGAAAAGTGTGGGTTCAGTGGCAGTATAGTGAGATAGTCCATAAAGTCCAATTGGAACATCCTGGGTAACATCTTGCTGGCCTCAAGACACTTGATGTGGCACCTTTAGGAGACCAAAGTATCTCTGAGTGAACAGGTAAGGAGAAAAGAAGGGTGTGATATGAGTGTAGTAAGTTACATATTTATTGTGGTGAAAGACAATTGGCAGCTCACATGTGACAGTTGAAAACCATTGTTCATCAACTAGTGGAGCCTCTGGTGGAGAAATGAAACACAACAGTGGACCACAGTCCAGGCAGAAGCACACTGGGTTTGTCAGCTGGATATACCTGTAGGACTGAGGAGACACAAGAGGGTACCAAACTAAGTGCAGCAGTAGACTGTGATAGTAAGTGCATGTAAATTGGCAACTCACCTAGACAAGAAGAAAGGGCACTTTTAATAATGTTCTAATTTGTGATTACCTTGTGCTTAGGAAATTTGGAATCCCATCCCAAAAACATGCAGCCTTGGCAATCCAAAATCTATTCAAAAACGTCAGGGGCATGTATCAATGCAGAAAATTAAAATATCTCACATGCAAGCATGTAAAATATGGCCAAAAAAAAAAACTTTGTAGCCAATGGAAAAACCTATCCCATCAATACTTTCCACAGCTTCTGGTCCCAGTTCGAAGTGTATTGCCTTACATGTCCATGTGGTCTTATTTACGTAGCAAGAACCATTTGAACATCACGTACCAGATTTGGGGAACACAGAAGGATTGCGGAGGAGAGAAACCCAAAACACAGTGTATCTTGCCATTTTGCTACACACCATAACATATCATCTGCAGGTTTACAAGCCTGGTTTTGTGAGATGGAAACCTACTGGATATCACACTTATTATATTTTGTGTATGTTCCAGGGTTCTCCCTCACACATCTGTCATCTTATCTACTACTTTATACAGATCTCCCACCATATACGCACCGTCCTGTTGTGCTCCCTCTGTCCATCCTCCCAGATTTGGCATCATGACATTCTCCCCCCCTGATATAGCATCATGAGCACCTAAAGCATGTATTTGCTAATAGCCAGTGTATATACTGCATGATTACCCATCATCTTATTAAATCCACTGTGCCTTTTGGTTCCTCAAATGGGTTACACTACATTATTGCGTCCAGTAGCTTTCCATCCCATCCACATATCAAATGAAATGTCCTTTATTGTATTATCAAACTTGACCCATGGTTTAACATTTTGCAACCAGTTACTTTTAAGTCCTGCAGTGCCTTGTTGTTCCCCCACTGTATAAATACATTGGCATTAGGCAAAGGGGCTTGGCCTGAAAAAGAGGCTGGGAGGCCACAAAATGTGTCGGCCCACATCCACTCTGCACTCCATGGAATCCTCCACCATTTTCCTGCTTTCATTATTCGGCCAGTCCCTGTACCAACATCTGGATCACCAAGGCTATAAGTTTTTGGATGAGACTTCAAATCCCCTTTGCGTAAGTTAACTGCAAACTGGAACTTTATTCAAAGTGCCATTTCTTCTTGTCTAGCTGAGTTGTCAATTTACATGCATTTACTATCACTGTCTACTGCTACACTTATTTTGGTGCCCTCTGGTGTCCCCTTGGTCCTACAGGTTTATCTAGCTGACAAGCCCCATGTGCTTCTATCTGAACTGTGGTACCATGCTCTGCTGCATTTCTCCACCAGAGGCCCCAATATGTTGATGAGCAAGTGTTTTTAACTTAGTAGAATAGTTATTTGTGAGCCACCAAGTTAACTTACTCTATTATTAGTGTTAATTGTGTGCTTAAGTGAATATTAATTAAATATTGGATCGCCAGGCACTAATTACACCCTCTCTAGGTGTATGAAATTTAAAACTATGAATTCTTATACTGTACCGCGCTCCAATATTATCAACCTTTTTGTGATTAACCTTTTTTGGTTGTGTGAATTTCTTAATATACCACCTATAATCCAATCATTACTTACTTCTATGGTGCTTTACATTATTCAACCTGGCTTCTTTTTTCACCTGCTCTGGTCCTGCCCACAGATGCAGCTAAGGTAAGGAGAAAAGTATGAAAGTAGTAAATTACATATTTATTGTGGTAAGACAATTGGCAACTCACATGTGACAGTTAAAAAACACTTTGAATTCTTATACTGTACCGCGCTCCAATATTATCAACCTTTTGTGATTAACCTTTTTTGGTTGTGTGAATTTCTTAATATACCACCTATAATCCAATCATTACTTACTTCTATGGTGCTTAGGCTTATTGCCATACAAAGATGAACAACTAAGGAGGTGAAAATCGCTGTAAGACAGCAGGGAGTGCTGACAAGGAGAAGAGGGTATTGCACTTAACATGGAAAGCAGCTGTCTCACCTCGACAGAAAGTGCATGCATTAGTACCAACAAACAGTCTCTCTATGCAATTCCTGCACCTTAACATGCGGCATTTAAAACAAAAGTAGGAACAAAGGATCAAAAATCTGTACAATAGCACGTAACACTGCATATTCCAGATCAAGAAGTGTGAGGGGAAGATCAGCATTTCCAACCCGACCACACCAATTATGGGTCTACAAAAGTTTATAGGTCCAATGAT